TTAAAAATCAACCCAAATAATCACTTATTATTTTAAATATAATATATGTATTAAAAATTATATTTCTTAAACTGATTGAAATTATGTAGACCTTTTATAAACAATTTAGTTGGATTTATTTTTTAATATTTGAGTGGTATTTGTAGAAAATAAAAAATAAAAATATTTTAGAAAATGTTTTCCCTAAGATGTTATCAACTTATCTATAATGTATGGCAATTACTAATAATTTATAGCAAACTTTATTACACTACAAGAGAAGTTGCAACTTAACTCCACATAATTGCTAAAGCTAGACAGTGGACACAACTAGAGTTGGCTAACCCTACTCTAAGTGGACATTAAATAAAATATATTTAACTTTTACGTCATGAACTCTTGCAAATATGATTTTTTTTATAAAAAATTATTTGAGTTAACATAAATATTTATATAAATTGGTGTTGACAAAGTTTACACTCATTTCTTAAAATCGACTTAATTGATATTTATTTGTTAAAAATATAAATAATTCCGTATCAAGAGGCGGAAAAGGGTTGTCGTGGTCAGGCCCCACATTTTAATATTATATAACATATATAATTATTAAAATTTTAACAATTAAATAAAATTATCTTTTACTCTTTTCTTTTCACATTTTTACTTTAACTTCAAACACTCATCTTTTATATTTTTACATGTTTTCTATCATTCTTCTACTTTAATACTTTTTTTTCTTTTACAGTTTTATCTTATAGCATAAAAATTATAAATTTTTCTCTTCAATTTTTATATTTTTCTTAAAGTAAGTAAATTTATTTTTTATTATGTTTTTAATTATTATAGATTCATATTTCAAGAAAAAAATGTGATATTTAATAAAATAAATTTTAACTATCCAAATTTAAACTTAATGAGTAATATTAAAAATATTATTGAAAAACTTACAATATAAACTATTTTATATTTATTTTCATATAGAAAAAAAGTATAAAAATGATTTCATTTGTATATATGTTTATGTAGATTATATAAATATCATTTAAACTTTTAAAGAACTTAGACAATTGATTATTTATAAAGAAAAAAAATTGAGATAAAAAATCTTGAGATGATAACGTTTTATTTGGAATCACAAAATAAGTATTTAAATAAATGTATTTTTATATATTAAGAAAGACTTATATAACAAAGTTACTTAAAAGGTTTTATATGGATTAATCATGTTGACCATGTATTTCAATTATTGTAAGGTTTTTACACGTAAGATCCTCTTAGATATCAAGACAAAATTAAATAACCTTTTTATCCTAAAGTACTATATTTTAGTATTATGGGAATACTAATGTATTTTGTTAATTATATTATATATGTTATTAACATTTGTTGTGAATTTATTAATAAGATATAGTTTTTCATTTATAAGAAGACATCTGTTTAGAGTAAAATATATATTTTATTATCTTAATATAATTATATATTTGGGTTTGCTTCTTTTAAATATTTCAAAATCAAATAAAATGAGTTACGTAAATGCAGGATATTTGTTTATAAGTGATGACATTGCGATTTCACAAGGAATTAAAAAATAAATCATAACAACGTCAAATTATGCAAAAATTTTATGATTACATGAGGTTAATAGTTAATGCGTGTGATTGATATCACTAATTTAATATATATAAGAAACTTATGATATATCTTCTGAAAAAATACACAAAGAATTATATACAAGAAAACAACATGAATTACTCAATTGAAATTAAACGATATAAAACAAAACATCTTTTTTCTATTTTTTTATTTTTTTTTACTTTTGATTTTTAGAGAATGGTGATACAAATATTCAAAAGGTTGTTCATGTAAAAATTTAACAGATTTATTTCTAAAATCTTAATAATGATGTTTGGCACGAGAAAGAAAAATAAATTAATTAATTAAAGAATGATAAACTTTTTTTCTTCACTAGATTTTTATTTTATAAGATTTTTTATAATAAGATTTTAACAAGATATAATCTTTTATCATTAAACAATAAGAAATGTTAAAAATAATTATTCATTGTCCATTCATTATATATATATATATATATATATATATATATTAATATATAACAGTTTAATAATTATTTTATTAACTGATTTAACACTGTTTTTACTTTTTAGATTTTAAAAATTAAAAACAGTAAAAAAAAAGTAATAAAATATATTTTCTATGTTCGGTATTCACATTTTTAATGATAGTTTTACTATATCATCCATATTTATTACTATAAAATTAATTTTTAAATTATAAATATTAAATTAGTTTTATAACTTATTAATAGTTTTTCCAAAATTAATTTCTAAAGTTATTTTTAAAATTACAAAAAAATCAAACTAATTCCTTATCTTTATATATATATATATATATATATATATATATATATATATATATATAATCTAATCATTTTAAAAAAAATTATTTGTTAGACTATTATATTAAAAATAATAATTAAGATAATTGTAATAAAAAATTATTCTTATATAATCATAAATTTGTGAAATGTCATATATATATATATATATATATATATATATATATATATATGATTCATGTTTTCAATTAATTTATAATAATTATTAGATATAATCAAATTAAATTTTCTAGTTATATTCAGTGAAAATTAAATTATAAAAAATAATCCTATATTATATATTAAAATAATAATTAAGTTTAAGTTTTATGATTTTAATATTAAATGATAAAATCCACAGGTTTATATTATTAATATGTTTTTATTTATTTTTTCATTCAAATCATAACTATTAATATATATATATATATATATATATATATATATATATATATATATATAAAGGTATAGTAATAAAAAACTATATAACTACTTTTACTTCCTTTTATCATAATTTTTATTCTAAAATAAAATTTAATATTGCTATTATTTAAGCATAATTATTATGGGAATATATCAATATATAAATAATTTTAATTAAAAAAATAAAAAACAAAGAATAATATAAATTAATATGTTCATAAATAAAAATTAATGAATTTATTTAAACATAATTAATTTCTAACTGTCTTCTTCTCTCTTGATATTGTCACTTTGTTTGGTATGCTTTACTCTCCAAATATCTTAGGCAGTCATATTCAGTCAACTATTGATGATTATGGTGTTTTTAAATTCATTAAAGATCATTAATATGAAAATATCATTAAAGCAAATAAAGAGTGATTATGCTTTAATTGATCAACTTATAAATTACATTAATATTAAAAATTCAATATAATAGCTAAGAAATATTCAAATCATACTTTTAAATTCTTCGTAGCTATTTGTAATTAAACGAAAAAAATTTAAATAAACTGCATTATGACAGGTATTAAAATAATATAAGTATAATTCTAGTGATGATTAGTAGTAAAATTATAAAGAAATATTTTATTTAAATATTTTTAATGAAAATTATTATTATTATTCTCTCTTTTTCAAAACAAAAATTGTGACTACACAAATCAATATAAATATTAATTAATTATTTTTAATAAATTTATTAGTTTTTTCATTAATATTCTTATCATTTTAATATTCTTTCTGACTAAAATACTCTTAAATAACTTGTCATTATTTTGTTATATAATAAATATATTTAAAAACTAAAAATATAATTGATAAAAAATAATTAATATAATCTTAGATTATATAAATGTTCTATATTTATAAACAATTTTTAACAATATTTAGAAATTGTAAAAATATCATAGTAGAATTTGAATAATATTTTTATTTGATATTTAAAAATATTATTTGAATAATATTCGAATGCTCACGTATGGTTTCGCCGGGACGTAACCAATGTCTTTCGTTACCTTTTATTTATCAGCGGGGTATTGTCGATATGTTTAAAAAAACACCTTGACTTTCACTAAGTACGTTGATTTAAGAAATGTGCGTAAAAAATAACACTTTAATGAACGTTCTTTTTTTTATAGGTCTTGCATACATCTATAGAGCATTGCTTTCACAGTATAAATATTGTATATTAATATTTTCCAATTAATTATATGCTCTTCTAATTTAAAAATAAACAAATTCAGTGCATATTCGATAAATAAAAAAACACCCAATATTTAACCATCTTTGCTGAAATTTAGTATTTGTACTCGTACTTGTAAATTCTACCTATGTACGTGCACTTTTTTACATTCTACGTGTACTTGTACTTCATTTACCCCAAAAATAATGACAATATAAATAGAAAGAACAAAATTTTTTAAACTTACCCCAAAATATTTTCTTACTAACAACGGAGGGATAATTCTTTTAAGGTAGTTTAGTTATTGAAACAACTTTTGTGGTTTACCAAAAATTAGAATTGAATTCAAATTTGTCCTTCTAACAAAAAATTGGCTAAGAAATCAATTATAATAAAAACTTGTAAAGAACAGACAGCTTTTCTTGCTGTGTGGCGTGGGGGTGTAGAAATAATTTTCTTTTTATTTTTGGAAAACTATAATATTTTGTGAATAAGTACAAAAGATTACGCGTGTATCATAACCGCAGATAGGCACAAGGCAAGATTCGGAACTCTTTCGGCTCGTTGGTCGCTTCACATCCACGGACGTAAAGTTACGCGAATTTGACGCAGAGTCACCGCAACATTGCCCAATCCAAATTCACTAAATCATTTATTCTTGTTTCTATAAAATTCAAAGTTGGTATTATTATTTATGTTAAAAATAAAACTTTAACTTCCCTCTTGATTGTTTATTTATTGCAAGAAATTATTTACTTTTATGTGAATAATTTTAATTAAATGTTTTTTTTAAATTAATATAGTACTACTACCCCAACATTGTACTACTTGTTTGTTCAGTTTCATTTACTCACTCAACCACCCATCCACACCATTGTACTACTTCCTTCTTCAATCTGATTTAATCACTCCTTCACAACACTCATCTTCCTCACATATTTCTCTCTCCTCACAAATCAATTCCAAAACCCAACCTCATCCATGGATATGGATGGACACATGCACGGAATGGATGGGATGGCGTCGGCCCCTGCAAATGGCACCATGAAGCATCACAAGATGATGATGATGCACATGACCTTCTTCTGGGGTAAAGATGCAGAAATTCTGTTCCAAAATTGGCCCGGGGGTAAATCGGGAATGTACATCCTGGCCCTAGTTTTCGTCTTCCTCATGGCGGTTTTCGTTGAATTGCTCTCTCACACCAGATTCCTCAAACCCGGTTCGAACCACATCCTGGCCGGTCTCATCAAAACACTCTTGCACGTTTTCAGGGTTGGTCTCGCTTATCTGGTAATGCTTGCACTCATGTCTTTCAACGGCGGCGTTTTCTTGGCTGCCGTTCTAGGTCACGCCTTGGGCTTTTTCATTTCCACAGTTGCTTTCAACAACAAACCACCGCTTCAAGATGAGACTTTTGATCTTCCTCCAAATTCTTGTTAATTGGTAATTATACATTATACTTGTGTTTTTAGTTTTGTTTATTTTCTTAATTAGTTGTGTATGGATATGAAAGATTAAATGAAATTGGAAATGCTTGTTTGGTTAATGAATTGATTGTCTTTTTGTTTAAGCCGGTTTTCTTGCACTGCTAGAACCAACTATGGTGGTACCACACTTTGTTCTGAATTATTCTCTTCTATCCATACCCATGAGTTTTTGAGCAAGTGGGTAACATCCAAATTTATTGTTTGCTGACGACTATGAAGATGATGACAACGGGAAGCCATCGTCTGGTCATCGTTGATTACTGTTTGATTGGGTCAAGTCAAGCATGTGTTCCAAACACATCTGCTTGGTTCTGATACCTCCGGCTTTATGAACGTTGTAGATATTTTTCATTGGCCTTTATCACTAATTTATTTTTAATAATTTTATAAAGTATTTTACTTTCAGGTCAGGAGTTAAACCAAGTTTGCTTATTTTTTAAGTTTTTATTCTCTTTTTAATGAAAATTCGGATACACATTTTTTCTTCTAAAAAACAGGTTTCTTTTTAGTTGAAAAAAAAAGGAACACCTTAATAGAACACTCCATTTAATAGATTTTTTACAGTTTTTGGACAAAATAAATAATTAACCATTATACTAAAAAACTTATCAATAATAAATAATATTATTTAAAAAACAAAATAATATACAAAATTAATTTTCTTATCATAATTTTATTGGACAAAACAACATTTATTTCTACCTTCCTCTCTTTGTTTTTTTCTCATTCACCTATTTTCCATTTTTTTTAAATATGGTGTAAAAAAAATTGTTTCTCAAATATTATGATTTTATGACTTTATTATGAGTCCTTAAAAGTTTGACATTTTATAGCTCTTACGGTTTTACAAGCATAGTGAGTATTTTGATGTTACCCTATATTTTCAGATTTTCTTATTCAACAGTTTTTTATTTTTTATCATGATATTAGAAAATAATGCGTATGATCTTTGGCTAGCTTAGTTGTTAAAGTTATATATTATTAATATATTTTTTAAATGTATCAATTTTTTTATATGTATTTTAAAAAAATATATTTAATATATGAATAATTTATATATTTTTATTTATTAATTAATATTTTTATTAGATAAATTAAATAAATACTTATATTTGTGTTTTAATATTAAATTATAATCTTTAAATTTAATTGATTAATAGTTATAATTTAAATTATAATATATAATATATTTATATATTTTTACAACATAATAAAAATATAATAATTTTTAAAACGGATTAGGCAAGATACGAAAACTAAAAACATATCCTCAATTTTGAGGCCCGACACGATTTTGTAATTTCTAATTGGAGGTGTAGAGAAGAGATTATAATGAAGTTGTAATTTTGAGACTACCACCAGCCGAAGAAATTTTTTGTACAATTTAAAATAAAAATAAAATTAGAATTTTTGGGTTCATTGAATCAGACATGTTGATAGCTCAAAGCTTATCATTTAAAGAATTATTATTCAAATTACCTCTTACACCAACCTAATTGAGATTAAAGCTATTATAATAGCTCGTCGAATGCCTCTTAGGAAAAAAATTTCAGAGAAAAAATATAAAAATTTCCGAAATAGATCATTGCTAAATTATTTATTCAATTCATTTTCTTTTTTCATACCGTATGCATTTACCTCCAACACAAGGTCATAATTGGTTATATAGAATCAAATTCTCACTTGTATTTTGGTTTTTTCCTTATTAAAATGATTATGAAAAAGAAATGTTAATTTTTAAACAATTAAAATGAAAATATTATGTTTTGATTAAAATTATAATATTATATTAAATTAATTAACTAATATAATCATTATTATTAGTTTATACTAAACCTAAAGTTGATTATTATTCATAACTGTTATTATTTATTTAATGTATTTTAAAAATTTGATGAATTTATTTAATAACAAAAATTTAATTAATTAATATATTAAAATATGATTTAATAAAGTATCGTTGTTAATTAAAATAGAAATATTTTATTATTATTATGCTCAAAGTATTATTTATGAAAATAAGAAAAAGTTGTATAATATTAATATTGACTTTTGACATTAATATTACAATCGATAACAAAAATTATTATTTTATATTGATTAGTTTTACATGACATTAGTTTAAATTAATAAAAATAATTATCGATATTAAAGAATATGTAAGTATTAATATTAGTTAAAAAAATGCTTGATATTAAATTAATAATATTAATATAAAAAAGCACTACTTTCTTTCAAAGAAAAACACTACTTTGTATCATCATTGAAACTTTACAAAATATCTTACCATTAACTACTTCATTATTTTAAAATAAAATTCATTACGAAGATAAAAGAGAAACCATAAATTAAAGTTGTTGGTAAATTTTTATATAAATATAAATGTTATCAATTCAACGATTTATATTAAAATTGAAATTATGTATTATTTTAATAGTATGTATAAAAAAATATAAATGATAATTAGATGACTTGAATATATATATATATATATATATATATATATATATATATATATATATATATATATATATATATATAAACAAGAATGTTGAATACGGTCTATTCTAAAAATCTAATCTATTATAATTTTATTTTTAAAACGTTTTAGTAATACTTTTAATTTAAATTCGTAAATAACGTGAGAATAATGAGTATATACATAACATATAAAATATTATATAATTTTAAAGTTTATCACTACTTCACATTATTAATTTAATATTAATATAACATTATTTTAAAAATATATAAATATTAAACTTATTCAAATTTTAAATGTTAACAAAATGCCTTGGTTGAGAATGTTTTGTCTCCCACAATTATACCCGATCCACCAAACCCAACAGTTCAACCTCAGATGACCGGTTTGATCAAAACCTTATGTTACGAGGGTTTTACTCTTTCACGCTTTATTGTCTTTCAACGTTGGCTTCTGTAGTTTCTCTTCTAGGTCCATGTTTGGTTTTTTTTTTTTTTTTTCATTGCCACGTTTGTTTTCAAGAACCTGCAGCGGCAAGCTTTTAAATTATTTCGATGATCATCCGGATTAATTCATAAATTTACATCAAATTTGACCTAAACTCATTTAGTTCATAACCAAAATTTATTTTTCAAATTGGTTCATCAAGTTAAATGTGTTTTAATATATCTAATTATTACATAAGTTGAAATAATGTTATTATGATTTGAGGAATAGGTATGTATTACTCACTTTAAAACATATTGTTTAACATTAGATGTAGTATATAATTCAACCATAGTATCAAAGAAAATTCGAACTTCTAATCATATGCAATTCATCAATATTAATTAATATTTTGGTAACATTATACATAAATAAATCATCACATGTTACTTTATAATATTTTTTCTAATAGTGTGTGATAAGAAACCCAAAACAATACATTTTTTTTCTTCACATCAATGAATGTGCATGATCTAAATAATTTAATAGAAGCAGTTAAAAATATATACATTTCTCATTGGTTATGATTTGACCATATACAAACACAACGGTAAAATAAAAGTTTTCAAACTTTATAATATTTACAATGACAAATTCCTCTGTAGTAAAATTATAGGTAATAAATAAAATTAATTAAATAAAATTAAAATAGGTAAATATAATATTAATGAGAACTTCAATTTTTAGAGTTGATGTACTCTAATTGATGAACTAATTTAAAACACAATAGTCGAGACAAAATACATTCAACAATGATAATGATTAAAATTTTGAAGTGTATATATATTATTGATAAGTGTTCCACAAAAAAGAAGGGATTTAATGAGTTATATAAAAATTGTTACATAAGATTAAAACCACATTACATGAAGCATTGATCAAGTTATTGATCTAGTGTGCCATAGGTGGACATATTCTTGAATTATGACACATGTTATTAATCAATATATCATAGGTTATTGAACAATATGTCATAGTTTTTTTTATCAGTATGTCATAGGTTGTTGATAATGTACCAAGGTTATTACTCAAATAAAATTTTGTAAATAATAGAATTTTCATTAAATAATATACTAATTACAAAAAACAAAATTACAAATATTGTTGAAAAAAAAATGACAAAATATTTAATAGTGAGAACCTCTCCCACTATGTAGCATGTCTATGACAATGTATTGGATGAGATTGAATATTTGTTTCCCTATTATCATTATTGGTATCTTTATCATTTTCATTTTCATAAAGGGTATGAAAGGAACTTGATTGTATGTTGATCGTGATTTCAAGAAAGAGGTGAAAACACATATTTATTTTAGAGGGAAACATATTAAATTTATAAGAAACTTGACTTCCAAATTGAAATTATCCAGACACATTTTAAAGTTGGTCTACATATCTTAAAAATGGATAATTATGTTGACTAGTTTGATCAACATATTGATAACTTGACTAACCAATATTAACCACACAACTAACCAACATAAAGATTATTTGACTAACCAACATTTTGTTGTTGTTGCTCTTGTGCAACATATAAGCATCATATAAATATTATTATTATTATTAGTATTACACATCATGAATGAAAATAAGATAAATTATATACTTCATTATCCGAATCTTCCTACTGAAGAGAGGAAATATATATTTTATAGTATATTGAAAATATAATTGTATACATGGTGTATTTTTATGTAAATGGTCATTCTCATGAATCTTATTTCCTTGAATTAAGCGATTGTGACGATAGTTTTATATTATAATTCAAGCTTCATGATATTGCAATCAAAGTTCTAGCTATCAAGCCTTATTTATGGAGCTTGTCCAAATTAATTAGGATTTTTGGAATTGGTTGGTAGTGACCAAATTGTCTCATAACACGATTCGTTAGATGAGATTTAACAATTATAAAATATATCATAAGAACTATAGCACAACCCACAACAAAAACTTTAATATTTATTAGTTGTAAAATTAGGATAATA